ATGCTCCAGCACTTTCGAGCCAACCCCGCTAGTCAGTCATCTGGAATGGTCTGTGCATCCTTCCCGCTGGACGGTTGTGCGAAGAGCTCCTAATGTTGCGCCCGATGTTTACAGGCCTCTGAATGCAGATTTGCCGTGTTTGGCGTATGCGCTACATCCTCAGCATCCACTACTACCCAAGTTCGGTTTTCGCCCTGGATTTAGTGGCGTTTTGTTGTACGTGGCGGAGCTGCGGTTTGCCTTGTGGTCAGAAACACTGCAAGATGCAGAAAGCATGCTCTGGGAAATGTTCGCAGATTCTAGTCCAAGGCCAGAACTGTGAGTGCGTGTGAGTTGTGGCCGAGACGCCTGAACCTGAGTGTTTACTCCATGCTTCTGATTCCCGACAGGGCTTCTCCTGATAGCAATGCGGTCGATGTTCCGCCGATGCCGACTGCAAAGAATCTTGCTCTGATTCTGGTGCTGAAGTAGCCGCAGCAGGGGGCTTTTCGATTCACGGCACATGTCACGGCATTTCTGTGCAAGTTATCATCCCAGGCGCCTCAATCGGTGGAGCCGACGAAGAGGATCGTGTCTCAGGCGCGATGACTGTTACGTAGGAGTTCCTGTGCTTGTTCTTGAAAGTATATTCTACATTGACTTAATTATAAGTCATGCACGCAGGCGATGGAACCGTTTCCATGGTCACGAACGCAAAGGAGAATCATCCGTTATCGTCCCTGGCGGTCAAGGAGACCGGAGCAATGCGTTTCGCAATGAGGATTGCGTTGGAGGCAGTCTCCCGATGGATGTTTTCAGAGAGATTGCGCTGGCTTACTTCTCGCCGTCGCACCTTGCAAAAGTCAGCGCAACCTGCAGGACTTTTAGAGCTTTTGCGAGCGATATTACGCATTGGCGCAACAAGGTTCTCTTCTTGGAGGGTGCGGAATTTCAAAGTTCTGCAATCCTGCAGCGAATTTCCCCTGCCTACGGCGTCGCAAGTGCCATTACAGTGACGTGCAAGCAGCTTTGTTTGTTTGATACAGTTCCCAACAACGCATACGTGACAATGCAGACTGAGTGCATCCGGTTGCCGGGGGCTACCGACAGAGTGATGTCTGGATTTCGTTCTACTGGTCCTTTGATGGGACGAGCCGAGTTTGATCTGATCTTGCCTCGATCTGCTTGTGGTATATACATTGGAGTACGCGAGTGGAGAGGTGCGAGACGCTCATACTGTCGCATTGACAACCTTTTTCAAAGCAACACCACCTGGTCATATGGATTGAACGGCGAAATGCCACGTCCGCACTTCGGACGAGAACGTCATCAAATCCTACCGCTATCCGTCAACAGGTTTGAGATTGAGTGGTCCAGTCATTCGTTTGAGATTTGGCTGAATCGTGCTGGCGTTTCCAGAGTTTTTACGAACATGGAAGCAGCTCCGCATCTTTCAGAAGTTTTCGTTTGGGTTTACAGGAGAGACAACCGAGATGCCACTCAACCGCAAATCAGAAGCTTGCCATCGCGACTCCCGCTATCACCGACAATCAAGTGCGCAATCTGTAGCGGGCGGAACACACTCACCACTATTCGGTGGTGCGTGTGCGATATTTGCTATTCCTGGGTTTGCAGAAGTCATGTCCTGCAGCATTCCAACAGGCTGTGCCCTCGCTGCCCAGCACAACTAGGTGACTTCCTGGGTGCTGCATCTGGGGGAAGTGCTCCAATCACTACCGAATGCGATGATCTCATTTACACCAAAAGGGTGTGCGCCTTGGCGAAAAAAGCACGACGCTTGGTTTCTGGCTGGACGACTACGACCGGGTGCGCAGTTCCAATTCGTTCAGATGCACCAAAGGGCACTACTGCGAAGTCACCGACCCAGTTCCTGGCTCCTGTAAAGCAACCGGATACGCTGGCCTTGCTAAACCCACACCGCCGGGACTCTGCTATCACATTTGAAAGTTCAGGGCATAGATACCTTATCAGAGGTGTGCCGACGAACGGGTCTGTGACGGGCATGGTGCATCACTTTGCGCAAGACTTCGTCGAGCAGGCTGTCATTGAAGCCATGCAGCAGTCCGTGCGATGGCCGAGACCTTCCTACTTGCGCGACGAAGTTCTGACCAGCGAGTTGTCTGTGCTGGCCACCCTGGAGCCAGGGATCGTCACAGAGTTCCTGCAGCGCCCTCGAAATGAGGTGCGTCTCTGTGAGATGTTGTGGGAGGCACAGCAACGGAACCCTGACATCAAGCAGGAAATCGCGAAGCTTGCCATGACAAAAGAAGACATTTTGCTCAAGTGGCAAACGCAGCGCGATGAAGCAGCGGCGTACGGCACTTATGTGCACTATTTGCTTGAGGCTTTCCTGAATGGATTTGACGTCCCCATGCAGTCTCCAGAATTTCAGATGTTTTTTGAAGTTCTTGGTTTCATTGCTTGCCCTTCGTGCTTACAGAACAGAGTGGGTCATTTACGGTGACTTAGAGAATATTGCCGGCACCATCGACTTTTGTGCTACAGACGCCAGAGGACGACTCTATCTTTTTGACTGGAAGCGCAGCGCGGGCTTGCGGGGCATATACAAGACAACCGGATCCAGCATGAAGAAGCCGCTTCAGCACTTGGCTGATCAGCAAGGCATACATTATCGCTTGCAGCTGAATTGCTACAGGTTCTTACTTGAGAAGTATTACGCCAAGGAAGTTGCGGCCATGTTCGTGGTGTGTGTTCATCCAGACAACAGTCCACAGGCCTTTGTTGATAGCGTGCCGATCTTGCGTGAGGAGACCAAGACCATCATGAAAATCTGGGAGCATGAGGCTTGTCGCAGCAGGTCAGGAGATGTGTCAGGTGGCTCCACGTATGCAGCAGATCTACCTCAAGACGTGTTGCTCAGTCTGGCAACCTGCTTCACATGTCCAGACTATCTGCAAAGGTTCCAAGCGTGCTCTCGCAGTTGTCGTCGCGCAGTGCTGGACCCTACTGCTTGGCAGGGCCAAGTAATTGACATGGAACCACAAGGCCCAAACTTGGCACAGTTTCTCCGCGCAGCCCGTCTGGTTCACCTGTGGTCGAGAGCTGAGGCAGTGATTCTTCCAGCTGGACGGCTCTCTAAGATACCGCACATGCTCCAGAACCTGCGAATTGGCTGGCGGTTGGAGTACAAGGCAGCGCAAGACGTTCTCAACACTATCTTTGGGAATCATCCCGCCCTCTCTTCGGCCAAGCCGAGTTTTCGGTCACCATGAAGCATCCTGCCAACGCACTGATCGTGGGCGCACGTGGGACTGACATGCGTACTGGTATGTTTCGGAGCATATACTGTAGGTTTCAGCGCCCGTTTCAAGAATCAATGTCCGCTGCTTACGGCATGTACGGAGAACACCCTATGCCGGTGACCTGCCAACGGGGACCGCTGCTCCCAGCAAGTGCCACGCACCATGTGAAAGTGGCATGGTCCGAAGGCACGCTGACAATTTGGCTCGACGGATGCTTACAACCAAGCCTGCAGTTGCGGCCGCAGACACCTTCCGGCCCCCGCCCTCATTCAACATTTTTTGCTAAGATCTTCGCTTTGCCAAACTCAGGGCGTAACGACTTTCTTCTGCGAGCTTTACCAAGCAAGATTGAGCAGCAGTGCATTATCAAGTGTCACTCCTGCATGTACACGAGCAGGCTGACCGCGCGTGGTTGCTTGTTGTGTGACCAGTGTCTACATTGGTTTTGCTTCAGGCACATACAGATTGCGGGGTCTGCAGCTTTCTGTGCTCCATGTGCGGAGACTGTGATCGATGTGCTCGGCGGCGCAACTTCAGAGTGGCGTGATGAAGAAGGGATGCACACTGGCGACTTTCTCGGAGGGAGTGATTCCGATCGCGACGCTTTCGATGCCCGGGTTACAGCCGAGGTCGAGGAAACTCTTGAGCGGATGGACACGTCTCTTGTCGGTCGTAATGAGCTTCAGGAAGCTGTCGAGCAGTCGGATGCCGCTGATGTTCAAGCTCTTGCTCAAGACCAAGAGATGGAAGCCACCGAAGCCCTCCTGCCTCCAGCCTTCAAAAAACGAAGGACCAAGAAAGGTGCTGCAGAGAGTGGACCTGCTTTTGACCGCCACTTTCATGAGTGGAGAGAGATCGCTGACAATTTGCTGACCGAAGATCACCGGGACGAGCTGCCAAATGATGCTGGGATTTTGGTTCGAGTGCAGAAAATCTGGCATTTCGTGCGGGAGCAACAGGACTCGTGGCCAGATGAGCTGGTTCGCCTGGGGGGTGCTGCAATTTTGGTGTACGGAATGAGGCTTGGCGGAAAAGTCTTCATCGGCGATCTTGCGCTTTTGCTTTGGCTTGTTGGTGGGGAAAGCCATGTACGAATCCACAAAGGTATATGCTACCTATACAATGCACAAGGCGCGTTTCTTGCCTACACCGGCAAGCCACCTGAGCATCTGCTGGACTTGGTTGCAACGTTTTTCCTTCGGCTTGAAGGGATCTTCAGGCGGCTGCCGCGCAGCACGAGGAGAGAGGATTCGGCCATCCTGAGTGCAATTGCACGTGACAGGCGGGCTTTTCCCAGCGACGCGGCCTTCCTGCAAGGCTGCAAAGACGCAGCAGTGCGAGGCGTTGTTCCAACAGATGATGTAGGCGAAGCCGCTGGGGCAGACGTCTGCCCTGCTGCAGGCATGGGTTCTTGGACGGAGGACACTGCCGGTTCCTTGTGGAAGGTGTGCCAAGCCATTCGCAGCGAATTGATGCAGGACAAGCTTTTCTCAGTGCTGGTTGAATGGTGTGAAAGCGAAGACAGACGACAGCCTTGTGTCTGCTACATGGACGTTGCCGTGACATACGACAAAAGATGGCAGGAATGTTTCCATTGTTCCAAAATGTTCGGAGAACAACTGCTATGTGTACATTCCCCACAAGATTCTCGATCCTGTGCCGGAAGAGGCTTATAGAAGGCTGACGAAGTTCTATCGGCAGACATTTTGGTGCAACAACCGAGTTTATCTCTGCCACATGGCTGCCATTGCGCTTGCCAAGCGTGGTCACAACATTGACCGTTGTTTTATCGGCGTGTCGCCGGGTGGCGCTGGTCAGAGTTTATACTCAACACACCTGGATGCTATGTATGGTCCACATCATACGTTTTTTGACCCCAACGTATGGTACAACGATGAGGAGCTACGGAAGCAAGTCGAAAGCTTTGCATCTTGCTTCATCATCACGGGTCAAGAGGCCCCTGATTCTCAGCGCAAATTTCACTTAGACTTGTACAAGAAGACTATGAGTGCTGACGGTATAGCTGGGCGCAAGCCATACGGGTATACTACTCGCATGTTCTCGGTCGTCGGGTGGAAACGTCTGGAGACAAATCGTATGATAAGGTTCCAGGATGTTTCTGAGGAGAACTTTCGATCAGTGCTCCGCAGGGGCCTTGTCTGGGGGCCGCAAGCTGCGTTCCATCAAGCAGATTACTTGACGAAGCATTGTCCTCGGCACGAAGAATATGGTGTCTTCTGTGCTGACCCGACCCTCAAACAGTTTCTGGTGTCATCCGAGGCTTCCGTTGCCGGCTTGAAGCTTCAGGCAGCCTTTGAGAAGCAGCACAACAAGGAGAGCTGCCAGCAGCTTATCGAAGAACATGCTGGTCTTGGTGGTGATGGTTGGTTCACAGAGACCAAATTGCGCGAAGCATGCGGTCTCCCGCCGAAAATCAAATCTGAACAGGCCTGTGACGGCCTCGCTGCTCTCGACACTATTCATACTTCAACTTCTCAAGATGATGCAACAGACCAATGGACAGCAGTTCAGCAGGCCATCATGGACGAGGTCTTGATATCAGGCAGGGAGGGTATGACTCTGGCAGAGTTCAAAAAGTTGAAGCTGAATGCAGATGGCAAAGGCGTACCCAATGCGACTCGAGACGCGATGTGGAAAACGCTGCAGGAGAAGAAGCTGTTATTAGCAACTGTCCGCAACAGCACCTCTACAGAAGGCACTTGCATAAGACGCGTGCCGAGTGTGGAGACATGCATTCCTTGCCTACGCTTGACAGCATCGTTGAGCACTATTGTCGGCGTGGACCCAGCCGACCAGGCCTTAGAGTTTCCGGAAGCATATGACGTGGGCAAACTTCGGGCGAACCAGGCGCAGGCTGCTCGGCATGCGAATGAAGGCCTGCTGCTTATGGTGCTGAAGCCAGCCTTGGACAAGAAGGCGCAGAAGAAGGGCAGAGGCAAGTTGACAGATGCAGAATTTGCAAGAATGGAAGACTTGCGCAAGAAGGCACAGAAAGTCAAAGACATGCGTGAGCTGTGGGACACCTTGGCCGACGAGTCCCGCGAATCCCGCGAACCGCTTCGGCGGCGCCTTCCAAACAAGGGCGCCGATCCACAGCGGTGTGCTGCCATCAACAATGGCATGATGCAGCGAGTGGTGTCATACAGCTTGACTCCCGGAGTGGCGATGCGAGGGCGTCGGTACGTGCGAGGTTGGGGAGCTCAACGCATGACCCGCGAGATCCAAGAATGTCTGCTGCCACACACAGTCGACTTGGATATCCACAACTGCTGCTTCGTCTTGCTCAAGCAGCTTTTCGAAAAACTAAATTTGGGTGCCCTCATCCCCGCAGAGCTTAACGAGGTGTTGGTCCGGTGTGCGGACAGCCGTGCGTCCGTGTGTACTGAAGATTTGGGCGTCAGCCCTGCCAGAGGTAAGTTGATGATCTTGAACACCGTCCTCAACGGTGGCAGGCCCCCAAAAGACTTGCTTGCAAACAGTTTCCTGCGGAGACTGCAGAGTTTATCTGTGTGGTGCAGATGGTTGGCCTGCTCTTTGCTTCCTCAGGTGCATGAAGTCATGCAAAGCCGAGACGACAAAACATTCCCAACGGCAACAGTGTTCCATCATCTGTGGACTTGCGTCGAGGATTGCATTCTGCAGCGCTGGGCTGAATATGTTCTTGAGCATAAGCCTACGCACCTTTCGTTGCACTTCGACGGAATTCGCGTGAACGCTGACGTTGCCGAAGACCGTGAGGACTTCATTCGGAAGTGTGAGGAGCATGTTCTGCGGACAACCAGCTTTCGCATCAGCATCCGAGAGAAGCGGCACTTCAGCTGCATGTCGCTGCTTCGTGCACGTGTGTCAGGTGTTGAGTCATTATCGTCTGTTCCTGCCACGCTGCTCAACTATCCAGACTCCATCCCCTGTGCACTCTGGCACATTTCGGCTTTTGCCACAGAGAAGATTGACGACGCCAATCATCGGTTGAATTGCGCCGCACAAGAGAGAGGCCGCCGAACATACAGGGAAGTAGCCGAGCTCTCCAACATCAAGCTCCATCCGCTGTTCGGGTTGCCCAGCACTCGCCCGGTTAAATTTCTCCTTCATCTTGGAAACAATGGCTCCCCCTGCTGCATCGGCGTTGATGCTTCTGACAAAGACGTGTCAGTCTTCGCAGGTGAGCAGAAGTGGCACCTGAGCAGCTCAGAGTTTTCAGATCTCATTGCCGAGGGTACAGATCGGGCCACTCTGGCAACTTTTTCAGTTTCTGAGGTCAAAGTTGAGAAGGATTCTTCTGTCCTTGCAGCTATAGATCGGGCAGATGCCTTGCTAGATCTCCAAGCTGGCGCAGATCACCTGGCCGGACCCATGGTGCTGGATTCCAGTTCCCCTGTGGAATCGGACGACGCAGACAATGCCAGTGCGTCTGCTGACGACTTCTCCTTGCCTGCACCGGCCATGATTGTGGATGATGCAGGTGAAGTTTTTTTCCAAGACGATATTCTGACCAGCTTGAAGCAGGAGCTCGAGAACCACATGGCAGAGGTCAAAGCACGCAAGGTTCAGAAGCAAAGCGGAATGTATCGCTGCTGTTTCTGTCCATTTCGTTCTTTTGAAAGGTTGTCTCGTCTTGTGGAGCATCTCTCGACGTACCACGTTTCCAAGAGGCAGTATGTACCATCAGGCACTAAGCAGATCAAGGTCATTTTGGCGCTGCATGATGCAGACTGCATGGCACGCAAGAAGTCGGGGCAGTATTTGAGCCGTAGTGCAGAGCTGCTGCGGACAATAGTGTTGCTTCCTTTGAAACACTCGGTGAACGAGATTGACCGGCACCTGCGACTTGTTTTCACTGGGACAGGTCCTGAGTATCGCAATATCGACGAGCTGAAGACGCTTGTGGTCCGCCGCGTCCGAAACATTTACTACACGAAGGACTTCGCTGAGCAACTGTATCGTGAAATTGTGCTACATCACTCCAATGTCCCTTGGTCCGGCTTGCAATGTCTGTGTTTGTTTATCGAGCAGTCGAGCATGTTTTTGCTTGAGGTAGCTGTGGTTAGCGTTAGCTTGAAGGACTGTGGTTGAAAAATTTGACATGGACTGCAAGGTGCGCAGCATCTGGCCCCGGTTGCATCTTCGTGCTCTAGAAAGCGGCAATGTCCTGGGCAATCTGTACCCCACTCACACGCGCTTCTGGTGGCCCTTGGTGGAAGATGTGTTCTCATCTCCCTCTTTCAATGTCTTGGAGAGACGTCTTGTCTTTGCTCTTGAAGAGGCAAGAGAATACACTGCCATATCTCTCGACGGCACGCTGAAGATCTGCATGCGTGTCAAAGGGCAGGAGCAAGCCAACCGGAGTTCGCAGGTGAGGAACAGCGCTCCTTTCGGAGACGATGTCGCACACCGACGAGTCCTCACTGTCCGGGGTCGCACGGGTGCTGTGCTTGCCATGAGTCCAGTTCCGTCGGAGGAGTCAGATGTCATCGCTGCGGTGCTGGCGGCTTCTTTGTCGCCTGAGGCAAGAGCTCAGGTCCAATACGTCGCAACAGATGCACCGAGCCGGAAGTTATGTTCCGAGCTTCAAGACGTTTGCCCATCTCTCAAAGGATTGACGCTCGACCCTGTCCATCTCGCGATCAAGTATGAGTACGCCTCTGCCAACAAAAGAACCGCAGGCAGCAAGACTTTGCGATTGGCGCTGCAAAGAATGACCAGGGTGGATACGTCGCTTCCTGAGTTTGCTTGCATTCGTTTGTCTTACATCAGTTTATGCAAGTCTGACTTGTAGATAGTAGAAACACGCATGTCAGAAGCAAGGTTCATGTTAGGTTCCTGAGACGTGGACATGACGTGGACATGCTTACGTGAGGCAGAAGAGTGCTCGAGCATGGGGGCGTCTCTACGATGGCGGACAAGCGCCTGAGCTCTCGCATGAAGAGCTGCAGCTGCGGGAGATGATTCTTGCCTGCAGCATGCCTCATGACAGAGCTGATGTGGTGCTAGCAAAGCTCGGTCGAGATGCACATCTGCCAATCTATGCTCGTGCGACATTGATCGAAATCATTGCTGGGCGGACTGTGAAAGGAGAGGGAGTCTCGGTTGCCAAATCGCTCTGGTTCGCATGCTCTGCCGACCGCTTGGAGTGGCTCATCAACAACATCCGCATGCGGCAAGGGATGTCGACTGAGGATCGTGCGTTCCTCGGAAGTGGAACAAGCACAAATGAAGCCCTTCATGCTGAGCTGAGAAGCTGGTGTACTTCTATTCATGAGATGCACCGGAGCACACTAGAAGTCAAGCTTCGAGTTCTGGTGCACCGGAAGCGATTGGCCCACCACGTCGCTACGTACTTTCCCCCAGCTCGCCAAACACGAGAGGGAATCATTCTTGCAAGAGTCTTGGCCAGGCCGATGTTCACGGCCATGGCTTGGAAATCTTGGTGTCAGTCGCAGATCACTTTGAAAGGCATAGACAAAGCCAGGCTCCCTCTTGTTCATGCTCGATGTGAGGAGACAGAGAAGGTGAGGCAGTGGAGGCAGCGACAGTCGTGCAAACAAAAGGCACGTCGCATTCGCAAGAGAACTAGCTTTAATGCTAAGCGGCACTCATCTCTTAAAAAGAGAGGAGGTGTCCGCACGGCTTTCTGATTTGATGCACCAGTCGTCTGAGCCGATGAAAAGATCGAGCGGCCGCTTGCGTTGAAAGGCATGGTGTCAGTGCTCGGTCGTGGTTGCTAGCAAAGTTCGACCAAATTCCAACTGGCATGTGCCATGCTCAATTCGCTCGAGCTCCTTGGCATCTCGCACTGCATATACGAGGCCCAAACCAACGAAACTACCACATAAGTTTCATTACTGCGGAATGAAGAGGTAGGTGCTGCAAAATGCTCGTCTGACTGTCCTGTAGATCGTGGCAACACAGGGCGGGCCAAGCGGCCACTTTCCGCTGATGTCGTCTCCATGCTGAGTCTTAAGGCCGTCTCCCGTAACTTAACATGCCTCCATCATGGTGCAAACAAATGTATTGCACTCGTTACACTACAGAATCAGACATGATGGCTAGGTTTTAGGTTTCCAGAAACCACGGTCTCTCACATAAAAGATAGCATTGAAAGCCGATGCAGAATACGGAGATTCCCCGTGATCCGTTCCAAACGACTATGGGACGTAGACCGAACAAAATCAGCAATGGTTCAAAAGCACTCGTGACGAAGGATGAGTTACGACTGTGTGTGCTAGCTAGTTTTCCCTGGCGATAGAAAACATCGCAGGTGTTTCGGATAGAAGCCTTGTCTCGAGAAAATGTGCAGATACTTGCAATCTGTGCCGCTCACACATGGCTTAGAACGACTAGGCAAGCCGTGCGTGCATGCCGCCGCCGTTCTAGATAAGTCTCCCTTGGGGGAGGGGGCGGCAGGGATTCTAGCCAGAGGCTAGCGCCCTGCTCTAGGATACTTGGAATCTTGGCAACTCGGTTGAAAAAAATAGGTACTGTCCGAGCTAGTTGTGTTATCAGCTCCGCGGGATAGGATAGCTAGCTAGTGTACTGATTTATTCGACGTATATGCTGTTGTAACACACTTCGATAAGCTTGTCCCCAAAAGAATCCATCAACGGTCCCTCCACTTGCCGCAGCTGCACTACTAGACACCGCCCCATTGGCTGCCGTGCTACTTCCTGATGCGCCAGGATATCCCGCTGCACAGGTGTCATGACTATGACATCGAACTTTCGCATCAGCTCTCAAGTGACGTGTTTCATCATCGCAGCGCCAGCTAGGCAATGTGCCGTGGGTACCTCTCACAGTTTAGGATGCCGCCACAGACAGCCCTTGCATCAACCGCGTCTCAATCGCCGTTGTTGCTTCTGGCAGCGATCGTCTGAGTACGATTGCCACAGAGAGAGCTACAGCGATTATGCTGTCCGGAAGAAAACAACCTATTGCAGCCAGGGGTCAGGCACTTGACGACCGACGATCCAATCTGTTGCTGATTTTGCCAGGCAGGCATGACAACACCAAAGAGGCAGCAGCCCGCACGTGTGCCCAAGCTGCCCCCAAGCAGCCACAACCACTCCAATGCAGTCACAGCTCACCCAGAGCCATTAAAAGACCGGCAGTCGGATTGCCAGCACCCGAGACGGGCAGTAATCGAGATGGCTGCAGCGGAATGAAAAGATGTCACTGCATTGATCAAAGCATGCAGACAAGTTCTCACGCGAAAAGGAAGCAAACACACCAAGTTCTAGTCGTAGTCGTAGTCGTAATGGTGTAGTAGTAGTCGTAGTAGGACTAGTACTCGGAGTAGTAGTAGTAGTAGTAGTAGTAGTAATCGTCGTAGGAATAGGAGTAGTCGTCGTCGTCGTCAGGGTAATCGTAGTAGCAGTCGCCGTCGTCTTCGTCGTCGTCAGGCACTCGTCGTTTTAGTAGTGCTAGTACTTACTTGTAGTCTAAAAGAAGAAGAAAGAAGAGGAGCCGCATTATACCAAAAGGTCTCCGCCAC